AAACAAGTTTAGGAGCTTCTGGAGGCGGGAGTGAGTGCTGAGTTGTTCGTCTTGCGGGTCACCAGTTTTGTTGATGCCCAAGAGGGATGGAGGCTGGCGCATGTGCGTGGATTACCGGACGCTCAATAAGATAATAGTCAAAAACCGTTACCCACTACCACAGATAGATGATCTTATGGACCAGTTAGAGGGGATGGGGTTTTTTACGAAGCTAGATCTTAAGTCTGTCTACCATCAGGTGAGGATTCGAGAGGATAACATTTAGAAGACTGCGTTCAAGACCAAGCAGGACCTGTTCGAGTGGTTGGTGATGTCGTTCGGGTTGTGTAACGCTCCAGCGACCTTTATGAGGCTCATGAATGATTTATTGTGATCTTTTATAGAGGATTTTGTGATAGTTTACCTTGATGATATCTTAGTGTACAGCAGGACCTGGGAGGAGCATCTTGTTCATGTAGAGAAGATTTTTAAAGTGCCGCAGAACGGACAGCTAAAGCTCAACGGGAAGAAGTGCGAATTTAGGAAGGACGAGCTAGTGTATCTCGGCTTCATTTTGAGGAAGGGCGAGCGGAGGATAGATCCAAGCAAGATGGAGGTGATCACAAAGTGGTCGACGTCTAGGATAGTAACGAACGTGAGAAGTTTCATGGGGGCTTGTCAATATTTGCGCAAGTTCATTCGATATTTTTCTACTTATGCGGCATCTTTACATGGTCTTACGAAGGCGAAAGTTCAGTTTGAGTGGGGACGGACGCATGAGAAGACTTTTTAGTTACTGAAGAGGAAGAGCTCGGAGGCACCAGTGTTAGCGTTGCCTAATTTACAGAGGACATTCGAAGTAGAGACCGATGCTTCTAGTTATGCTATGGGCGCTGTGCTGATACAGGATGAGAAGCCGGTGTAATACCATTCTGAGATGTTTACGAGTGTTATTCTGAACTTTCCTACTTACGATAAGGAGTTTTATGCACTATATCAGGCGATCAAGCATTGGATGGTGTATTTGTTAGGTAAGGAGGTGGCTGTGCGCTCGGATCACAAGCCATTGGAATTTTTACATGTCCAGACAAAGCTGCAGCATGCACGACACATGAAGTGGATGTCCTATTTGATGACGTTCAACATCATCATTAGGTATAAGAAAGGGGCGACGAACAAGTTGGTCGATATGTTATCTCGACTGTCAGTTAGAGCTTTATTGGTGGTGGCGCGTAATCAGTCATTGGTTCCTTTAGTATGTACAGATGTACACATTCAACAGAGATTTCGACAGTGTGTTTGAGCAGGCAAAGGCTGATCGAAAGGGGGAGTATGAGATTGGAGCAGATGATTTGTTGTATCGTGGGACATCACTTTGCATTCCGGAGGATATCGATCGATTGCAGTGGATTCGAGAGGCATATACATCACGTGTGCAAGGTCATTTTGAGATTCAGAAGACGTTTCTCAATCTACGAGGTCATGTCTTTTGGCCAAAGATGTTGGAGGATGTTACCAAGTATGTTGGAGGGTGTAAACTATGTTACATATCAAAACCTTCTAACAAGAAACGGGGATTGCATCTACTATTGCCGGTACTTTCAAGACCGTGGGAGAGTATTTCTATGGATTTCTTAGGAGGTTTGCCGACGACCAAGCGCTGGCATGATTACTTGTTCGTTGTAGAAGTGCGAGCATGATTATTTGTTTGTTATGGTGGACCGGTTTAGCAAGATGGTGATCTTGATTCCTTATAAGAAGACCGTGACGGGAGCGGGTGCAGCGCAATTATTCTTTGAACATGTGTGAAAGCACTTTGGGTTGTCGAGTTCAATTATTTCAGATCGGGATAGCCGGTTTCTCGAGTATTTTTGGGATTCTTTGTGGAGTTTGATGGACACTAAATTAAAGAAGAGCACGGTCTTTCATCCACAAACAGACGGGCAAACAGAAATAGTCAACCGGATTATGGTTCACATGTTACATGGATATAATTCCAGGCATCCCAACACTTAGGATGAGAGCTTACCATACATTCAGTTTGCTTTTAATCGAGCTATTCATGTATCTTCGGGAAAGTCACCGTTTGAGACGTGTAATGAGTTCTTACCTCTTAAGTCCGTTCGACTTAGTATTCTCTGGTGAAGTTACGGCCGATGGCAAAGAAGGGACGAAAGACAATGGGCTCAACATTTTCTAGAGAAGATTACACAGATTCATGCCACGGTTGAAGCTCAGTTGAGTAAGTCACAAACAAAGTATAAGGCAAAACATGATCAACATCGAGTTCATTGTAATTTTGGTAAATGTGACATTGTATGACTGAAGTTAAGTAAGGAGCGGCCAAAAAAAGAATGGAAGAAGTTGAAGCCTATACGATATGGTCCGTTTCGAATTCTTGATCAGATTGGTGACAACGCCTTCAAGCTAGATTTGTCACCTTACTTAGGTATGTATTCGGTGATTAATGTCGGGTACTTGAAGTTGTTTGAACCTCCATTGTTGGACGACGAGGGTGACGACAAAGTGATCTTACCGCACGTTGAAGACTTGTGGTTTGATAGAGAAGAGCCGCTGAAAGAGGATTTTATTTTGGAGCGGAAGGTGACTACGACGAGACGCGGGATGAAGGAGTCGTTTATGATCGGACGTTAAGGTCAGGTTCCTAGCAAGGTCAGGTGGTTCAATAGGGAAGGAGGGGCTCGTGAGTTCCCTCAGTTGAAGTTCTAACTTAGTTCCTAAAGGGGGAGCCATGATACGAGTGTATCTTCTCTTTGTTTCGGGAGCTTAGCGATCCTCATGGGAGCTTGAGGATAGATGATTCTCATGGGAGATTGAGAATAAAGGTGTGGGTGAAGCTGTTGGTGGTGGCGAAAGTGGTCAAAAACAGGAAAACTTCGAAATCAGGAATCTGGCGATAAGTCTCTAGCCGGTCGACCGAACACTCAGCACCGATCGACCGAACACTCAGCACCGATCGACCGGATTAGTGCACACTACTAGACGAGAAATGTGTTCTCTGGTTGGTTGACCGAGACACACTTGTCGGTCGACTGATATTAGGAGACCGGGCGACCGGTATTGGTACATCGGTCGACGGGATCAGTTTCTTGGGCCGAGTTGGACTCTGTTTTGAGACGAATCCTGATTGGGTTTTGATTTGGTTATTTACGATTTTGTCATCCACGTTGTTAGACATATAAATAGGGATTGTTTAGGGTTTCTATACATTAGATAGGATTTTAAAGAGAATGGGGAGATTGTTCTTTATTCTAGAGAGATTGTGATGAAAGATTTTGTAATCTTTTATTCTTCGTAATCTAGAGAGGTATTTTCCTTCGCCAATTGAATTGTCTTGTGTGTTCTTGTTGTTTTTATTCTCATCTACACCTTTGATAATTCCGCGATCATAGGTGCTCGCTTGGGGACTCGTATCAATTTTACTTAAATTAAACCTAGCGAGCCAATAGTCAAATCCATCCCTACTCTATAGAAGCCACTGCTTTTAATCCACAAAAAAGACGGAAAAAAAGAAGAAAGGGAAAGTACAAATTCCCATCTTAATCGAAGCAAGCAGCTGCAGTTCCATTAGTGCGTTGATGACATCATCTTAACCTCATCAAAGTCCCTTCAATAGCAAAATTCCTCATTTAAAGGGCCTGAACACCTCTCTCCAAACAAAAGTGCCCAAAACACCAAACACCAGATTATCCACAAAATACCAAATAGCATCCATAAAAGCTAGTGTTCATCATCCTCATCTTCCCCCTTCTTTGTTCTCTGTTTGAGCACAGTGAAGCCCACCAAGGTGCGATCTTTCTTCTTCAATGATCAGATTTGACAAGATTTTTTCGGCATCAAAGTGTCTGCATCTCGTGAAGGGTTCAAAAAAAGAGAGGAAATGTAATTACCATGATGAAGTTTACGATGAAGGAATTTATCTAGGATAACAATATGTTTTCCTTAATGATTGGTTCATGAAAAAGAATCCATATGCCACCGGAGCAGTTAGCATAAGAGTTCATGTTTTCACTTATTGTATATACTTGATGTTACTTGATATTTATGCTATGGTTAATCTTCACTATATAAACTAATTTATATATGTATGAAATTTTACAGTTAAAAAAGTTGACCTGAGGGTTTATTTGTAACATCAATTTTTGGAGCGTGTGTTTCCCTAATCACGCTCTGCTTGTTACTGTAAGTGTATCTTATGGATTCATCATACCTATTTGGAGCGTACATAGTCACAAGTTATTCAGCGATATTTGGAATTCAGAAAAAAGGTCATGTAAATTTGGAACTGCTCCAGCATTAAGATGTCGGTAGAAATAAGTCATTATTCTCTGTATATGCACGAAAGACAACCTATTTTGACATAAGATATGGAATTACAGTTAGTAAGTAACTAGGATAATTAGTTGTTGGTTCTAAGCCTGCTAAAATCCAATATTTTCATACAGCTTACTAATATGTGGTAAAAACGTGTCAGCAAATTAGAACAAGGTTGAATCCAAGGGCATTCCCAAATTTTGACGGTAAAAAAGGCCAATATTATGATTAGGGAGTGTGGTTTCTTTTGGAATTTATGTGTATTAGTATGACAACCATTCCTTGCAGTACCAAGGGATAAATGCCTGTAACAATTTCTTCAATATTTTATTGTAAATGCCATGATGCCTGAACAATGGTCGCTACTTGTGTTATCTTTCAACATTGTATGTGTTTGTTAATCTTAAAACTCTAGCCCTTAAGAACAGTATGTATGATCAGCAACCCATTTTAAGTACCCCTCTTCGATGTTACATTTTTATCATAACTTGATTCAATTAAAAAGTGATATGTAACTGGTTCATCTCACTATGTGCATTTGTGTTACATTTACAAGTTTGGTGAAGATTGCTTCTCTTCAGTTTCTTATTTTATTCTGCAACTCGGTTGAGTTTATTGAATTTTTTATTTAGGTTGACTTGCACATTCTTGTTATTCATTGGCATTAAACTATATCGCTGGTGCAGATTTTTGTTTCTACAAATCCTCGAGGCGCAGAAAGATTAGCACCAGGCATTGTTGTTCCAGAATCAGATCTTTATCTTCGCAGGTTGTGGGGCAATCCAAGTGAGGTTTGTGTAACGTCAGAGAATTTCTAGTTTTCATTAAAGAAAAAAGAGAGCTCACTTTCTTTTTTCTAGTATAGTATCTGAAGATAATCATGCTTTACTCCTCTCCTGCTCTCGCGTTCTGCATACTGTCAGAGGGATAGAGTGGGCTGAGGCTCTCATGTGTAAAAGATATGGGACACGAAAATGCTAAGTTGGTAGAATGACATGGAAATGCTGGGAAATTTATATCATGGGTGCTGGCTAACCTAAAGGAATTTTTTCTAGATTGAATTCCTAGGAAAGCAAACAGATGAACTTGAATAATGGTCAAATGCATGGCTGGTTATTGCTCAGTCAAACCCTAGGCCACTTGATATTCTTGCATTTGTCGTAATGTTTATTAACTATTGAATTTTATATAGCCATTCATTAGAATTAGATTCTGAGTGTACACCGGAACCTAAATTCATTTGAACAATATTGCCATCTAACCAATAGGTACTAAGTGATTGCAATGTAATTGGCGGTTCTTAATTTTGTGACCTTGCTGGAGTAAGAAGAAGTCTTTACATTCTGAAAAGTATTGACTTCTGACAAGCTAATATATCCTGCACTTCATTTTGGACATAAGAACCACACAGACTACTCAGGGTGTAGGCTATTTCTGGATGATTTACTAGACTTTATTTGGTATGCATTATAAAAAAGTTACATCGTATGGTGTTTAGCATCAATGCTTGTTCTCTAAATACTTTACACTTGCTTTCGGAATGACATGTGCAGGACCTGCCTATCAAACAGAAATACCTCGTCACATTCACAGTTGGACTTGGCCAGAAACCTAATATTGATGCTGCAGTCAAAAAGGTTCTTATCTTGAAACTGAAAAGCATGATTTTCTATATCTTGTTTATATTAATTTGCTATCATATAGATGTCATCTCTTGCTTTTCATTTGACATCTCTAACAACCTGGCATACTATTTGATTACCTTTGATCTTCATAGGGTTTATTCTATTGACTTCTTAAATTTTAGACTGGAAGAATTACTTGTTACTCATTTTATTCCTTATATTGATTTATATTAATTATCTAAAGTCATAGCTCCTAATCAAGTCATATAAGTCAAACAAAACTGAATTTGAAAGTTCTATAAAGCGCTTCATCTAATACAAGCTGTAATTTCTGTCGTAAATTACCAGGACGGTTTTTTCTGAATCTATTTAAATGCATCTGGTCATGTCAAAAACTCTTTTAGTCTATTTAAGCAACAGACACCTTTGGTGCTTTTGAATCTTTTTGTTTTTTGCGTAGTATTTGTTCTCAGCATAGCTAGAGCATGCTATGTCTGTTTTCCCCAACTCTGCTGCGTGTGAGAAAGTTATTGTACAATCATTGGTTCAACAAGCCATTTCTGTAGTTTTGTACAGAGAAATAAGAGCTACATTGGAATGTTCACTTCCTTGTCTGGATTTCCTTTGACTGTACTCCCTAGTTTTGGGTGAATCCAATCATATAGAAATAGAAGAGGATATTTAGAAGTATTTTTCTGAATAAAAAGCATAAATAAGTTTCTTAGTTGTTTTTACTCATATTGCATGAAATGGTGGTTGCTGCTTTGTCTTGTGTTTTCGATGTTGAAATTTCCAGCCAAAGTATGTGGACTAATCCATATTCTTTTGCAAAGTACACATGGGACTTGCTGACATCTTTGGTTTAGACCGGCTTTTATCTGTTTAGTCATTTTTATTTGTATACAGCCTGTGATAAGTAGTTAATAGAGACCTGCTGATCTGCCAATCCTGTCTCACTGTAGGACGATGAACATATTTGGATTCTTTGGAGTCTCCCTTTCTTTACAAATTTCTTGATTGTTATATTGTATCTTGCAGTTTTCTGGAAATTTTACTATCTTATTGTTCCATTATGATGGGCATACTAGTGAATGGGATGATTTGGAGTGGTCAAAGCAAGCTATTCACGTAAGCATCAGGAAGCAGACTAAATGGTGAGAAGATGGGTTTTCACTTAAATTTGTTGTTTAGCACTTATGAAAAGATTGCGACATAGTTACTATTCATAAACACAGCTAATTCCTTGCTCTCTGATGATATTTAAGGTGGTACGCTAAAAGGTTTTTGCACCCAGACATTGTGGCTTCATATGAGTACATATTTATCTGGGATGAAGATCTAGGAGTTGAGCACTTTGATGCTGAAAAGTAAGTTCTTGTCTTACTTGCTAACATTCCATGTGATGTAATGATCGCCCTGTTTGAGGAAATGAGTTGTTTCTCATTTTTTAGGTATTAGTATTCCATGTAACGTAAAGATATCCCTGTTTGGGGAAATGAGTTGTTTCTCATTGTTTTAGGTACATCGCGTTGGTTAAGAAACATGGATTAGAGATTTCGCAGCCTGGTTTGGAACCAAACAAAGGATTAACGTGGCAAATGACTAAGAGAAGAGGTGATCGTGAAGTGCATAAGTAAGTCTGCATCAGCTCAATTGAGCATTATTTTATTTGCATTAAAGTGAATCTTTTCAAAAAAAATTGTTCCCTGCGCTTAAACTCTCTGTTTTTTTTATCACAGAGAAACAGAAGAGAGGCCAGGCTGGTGCACTGACCCCCATCTCCCACCATGTGCCGCGTAGGATTCCACTTCGTGTTATAATTGGATTATTGCAACTTTTGGATTACCTTTGTTTTTTGTTTATATTATTTGTTAATAATTCTTCAATATGCAGCTTTGTGGAGATAATGGCTCCTGTTTTCTCACGAGATGCTTGGCGATGCGTATGGCATATGATTCAGGTGAAGTTGATAGTTTCTTTTTTTCTGTGGTGGTAATTAATGTCTAACTGAATGCTTCATCTTGTCATGACAGAATGATTTGGTTCATGGATGGGGTCTTGATTTTGCACTTAGAAAATGTGTAGAGGTATGTATCTACGACCAACTCTTGTTGCCAATAACCATCGGAGTTTTCCTTTAGTCAATTAATAAGGAATGCTTCTTTTTCTCTCTCCTTTTTATCTTTCGTTTTGCCCTGCTGTCTAACTTTGTTGGCGCTCATTAATAATAGCCGGCTCATGAGAAAATTGGAGTTGTTGATTCGCAGTGGATCGTTCATCAGGTGGTTCCTTCACTCGGGAGTCAGGTGAGAAGGACCTTGACATACTATAGCTTTGATTTCTGACGAATGACACTGCAACGGGAGATGATAATCATATTTAATTTACCCTTTTCATTTATCTTTGAGCAGGGCAAGGCTGAAAAAGGAAAAGCGCCATGGGAAGGGGTAAGCAAGCAAGAACTTCTGATGCGTAATTTACACCTTTTGGATGTTAGTTTTCGTCCTCCTCGAGCTAAATAATATCACAAGTGAATCATTGTGCAGGTAAGGGACAGGTGCCGCAAAGAATGGACTATGTTTCAGGATCGAATGTCAGAAGCAGAGAAGGCGTACTATAGGTCGAAGGGGGTTGCTCCCCCGAACAACACAATGGCTTAAGAGTTCAATCACCTGTTTTTTGAGCTTTTGGCCTTTTGTATTTAAAAACATTGGCTAGTTATTTAGATGACTGATACAAATAGCGCTTCTAAAATTTTCATGATTCTTTAGTTTATACTTATAATTGATTATTGGAACAGGTGGCCTAGTTCCATCTTTTGGCTAGAAAGTATAACTGAAGGGTTTTGTTTGATTTTGTACGCTTGAGAATTCTGGTGGCTTAAGCTACTACGCGCACACAAGGTTTTTTGGGATCAGATTTTGGTAAGCTATACTTTGCTCTTGGATTTGGTATTCGAATGTTTTTGATGTAGCATATGTTGTATTGTATTATTATGGGAGCAATAAAGAGTTACAAGTAATTGAACCATAAGTACAACCAACGATTCAATTACCCTGGTGTTGGTGCAATGGCAAAGATTGTTAAAAAACAAAATAAGGCTAAATAATAGAGGAGTATATTCTTTTCAATTTCAAGAGAATTCTCACTAGGGGTGAGCAAAGGATCGGTTTGGTTGGTTTTTTACCTAACTTGCCAAAACTGAACTGAATTTAACTACTTTATACTTGAAATCGAATCAAACCGAGGGAAGTTAGTTTTGTTGATTTCAGTCTTATTTAGGGCCCGTTTGTATAATGGAAGTATTAGAAGTAAGAAGTAGGTTATAGAAGTAACTTTCAAAGCTATGAAGTAAGAAGCAGTGGAAATAACATTTTTTTTGTTTGTTTCATATATTTTTAGAAGTAATGGAAGTAAAACTTCTTCCTCTTCATTTACTTTTTTTGTTTGGATAACATTTGAAAATATTATTAGGAAGTAATTTTATCAATGAAAAGTTGTTAGAAGTAACTAATAAAGGAAATATTAATAAAAAATTTATTTATGTCATAATTAATATGCATTTCAAAGCTACTTCTGAGTATTGAGGATTGAAAAAATATTTTGAAAGTAAGGATGACACGTAGGCGCCACATAAGCATTTAGGAAAGTATTGGAAGTAAGTTTTTCAGAGAACCAAACACACTTTTTTGCTTGGAAGTAGCAAAAGTAGCCTCTACTTCTTTTACTTCAGCTACTTCACAATTACTTCACATTTCAACTACTTTTTTGCTTGGACTAGATTAGAAGGTCATTTGTAAAAGAACGACGCAAATTAATTAATTGAAATGATAAACAATTTTATGAAAAAAGAGAAATAAATTTCTGGACTAATGAAAATAAAGAAAGAGTACGTGTTACACAATTGAGATAGATGTCAGTTTGGTCTGAGCTTTTCCTCAAACTTCACCGACCAAAACATATTCTAATACCGAAGAACTGACAAGATTTCGTTGGTTTGGTCAGCTTAATCGGCTTAAATCGGTCGTTGCTAACCTTTAGTTCTCACAACAGGAGTTGGAACTATATACTTTGTCGTAAATGCGCTTACTTTTCCAACTAACTAAACATCTTTATTTGCTATGTAAAGTACTTAACTAGACTAATAAGAGTTGTAATACTGTTACACAGCAATACAATGTGGGGTCTATAGAAACTCAGAACTTCTCATCGCGGTTATCAAGAAGAGACTACACATTTTTGTATTTTATAATACGGAAGTCGTATGATTCTTGTATTTTAGTTATAATCACTCGCGTGCCAATAAAATGAGCTAAGGCCAATAAAGCCCACGTGTAGTGCCAGAGTGTTAGGATGGTGTCATTGGTGTGCATCAGTGCATGCAATCGAATTAATTTGATGAATAACAAACTTTTATATTGATCTAATACAGTGGTAAGAGCCACCACCCCCGCACCCCCACGCCCCACCCCACCCCACCCCGGCAACTTTTTTTAGTATTTACACTATCAATAAGTATTAGATTGGATAACATAACAATAGACACCTCAAAAGTTTGGGAATTTTCTTTACCAATAACTATTAGATAGGATAAAATAACCATAAGTCCCTCAAAAGTTTGGAATTAGATTGGATAAAGCGACCAATAAGTATTAGATTGAATAAAATAACCAACACTTACCTTTTTCACTTCTCTTTCTTATATTATTTTATATGTTTGTACAACTTTTTTCATTTATATTTTATGATGTTAAATCTTTGAATGAAAGAACATATAGATTGGGTTTGAAGTTGATTTTATTATTAAATATATTAGAGAAATATATCAGAAGCTAAATCAATCTTGAGCATATGGGAATGCCCGTTTCGTTATCATGAATTTACAGAAATAAATGGAACTCGATTTGGATATGTATAGCTTGAGATATGAACGTTTTAGCGAGAAAAGGTGGAAACAATCAGCAACATGCTGGAAACATATACAGGGGTTGAATCTTGCACGGGCCATAACTTGTAACCCATTTATCGGAATCGTTATTATAATAGATTTTTAGAATGCTCTTGACCTGATCTACTGATCATAAATGATTGAAGAGACCATCAATGGTGCAAAAAGTCCATAGAGGTTCAGATCATCGATAGTGAGATATTAATCATCGATGATCACCCTTAACCATCGATGGTGAAGGTCGACTATTGACGGTTGTTCAATTGGTTTTAGAATTTTGATCTGATTTTAGATTTATTTTGAGCCATTCATTGCTAAGGGTATATAGGCTCTTTCTTCATGTTTTTCATCAGAAGTTCCCGGCCTAGTTCAAAAAGAAAAAGAAAGAGGGAGGAGGTGGGTGGGGGGAGGCTAGTGTTTCAACCTAGGAGAAAGAGTCTTATTCAGGTTTCTCAGAAAGTATGCTTGATATCGTTCTTCATTATCAGATCATCATCCTTCAAGGAGTGTTGACCTTACAATTCGCCATAGTCATTTTTCTTTTCAGAGTCCCTATTATTATAAGAAGGGAAATTTGCATAATCAAGAGGCTATAACATCATTCTAGTTATGCTTATTTGATATTTGATACTTTGTATTAAATTTGTCACTATATGTGTTCCAGGTATAGATATGGGCACACTATTCAGTAGGCAGCTATGTACATGAGAACCGCGTCAGGTGGGTCCTCACACATACTTAAGCCTCATATGTCTAAACAGCTATAGAATAAGGGTGAAATAGTAATTATCTAGCTGAAACAAGCAAGATTGACTAAAGTGAACTTCTGGTTAAACTAGGCAAAACAAGGTAAACTAACTATAAACTACATAGCATGGTAGGACTCTGAATTAACAAATCACGCATAAAGGAAAAACTGTAAAAACAACTGCTTATCAACTCCTAGGAGGGTAAAACTATCCAATCGCACAATCTAATAAAAAACTAGTTACTCCCGCCACCTGAAGGAAGAAGGGAGAAAACTAGAGGGTCATTAGGCAAACGACTCACAACAAGCATCAAGCAAGAAAAGAAACGAAAGCATAACGTAAGGTAGAGAATATCCTGAAGGATACACTCATGAAGATCCAACATTAAGAATAGATAAGGGATGATATACCAAATAATGAAAAGGTATGCATGTGTTTAAGATGCTAAAATTTCTGAACTACACTGGAAAAGCAACACAAACTGAAACCATAACAAATAGAAAATAAGCAATCAAACACGCACACCTACTAGTCCTTACTATCTAAAGCTATCCATACAAAATAACTCATCAGAATCTCAACTGGATCTATATCTGATCTCACGTACCACTTCATTAATTGAATCAAAATTCACAAAATTAACATCTTATATTTTTTCTTAGTTTGTTGTACATGAGATGTTATGCACTAGGCTTGAGAATCTTACCTGATAGAAAACTTACTATCATGACACCTACACCCGTCTAGATGGTACCAAATAGGTGTTCAATCAAAGTACCCTCCGTGTCTGGGAGCTCAAAGAAGAGAAATCTTGAATCATGAATCCAAATACATTCTCTTCTTATAACTCATGTAAACGGGGAATTCCGAATGAAATCTGATACTCGCTAAGAGATACCACAGATTCACCACAAAGGCAAACAAATTCAACATACAAACAAGATTAAACAAAAAATTCTCTAAATGAGTATACTAACTGATAATAATCCATCCAGGTAACATGATTAAAAAAACTGGGACTCGACTCTTGCACGAGTGAGCAAAAGTCATGGTCCAATATAATATGTTCAAAATCCATAATATAAGGGTTTCATCCTTCACGTACAATAAGACCAGAGACAACCACCTAAAATTATCTAAGTCCATGATAGAATTTATGTCAACACATTCTAGTACCACAACAAACATGCCAAAGCTCACAAAACATGATCTGGACATATGGATAGCAAATATGCTTGTTTTTCGGAGAGCTAGTTTTTTTTTTAGGATTTTGGAATAATCTCAACAGTTCACTAGATGCTAAATTATGTGCAAACACCCTTTGTCATGGGTAATCTTTCACTTCAAGGAAGTTAATAAAGAAAACGGAACTGAATTTGGAAGTCGAAATCTCAAAATATGCGCATTGATTAGAATTCGCCAAATTAAAGGTTGAGTGCACGTCCTTGATGTTTGAGTGCATGCACTCGGTGACACGTCATTTACATAAATGACACATCCTCTTCTTGAACTAAGTCTCTTCCTAATCGGGTGCGTGCGCTAGTCAGGGTGAGCGCGTTCATTCGAACTGGCAGATTGCAGTATCGCAATCTATCGAATTCACTATCTCAAACTTCAATCAATCCACTTATCATGAATTACCTATTATTTAGATTCATAGCAGAAATCATTTACAAGTAGTTTGAGCATATTTCATCAAGAATACAAAGAGAAATCTTAACATTTTAGTATTATCCAAAAATATACATTTTTATATAAAAACTAGTTAGCTCTGAGAAAACCCATGAATCAAAACAATCAATTGACAAACAAACATGATCAAGATAGATGCCTTGGGTTATGGATTTAACAACAAGACGAGAAGATTCTTGTCTCGAGAGATATCAGTTGCAAAATCTGAGTTTTTTCCGTCGATTGAGCAAAACTCCCATCTTTACCTAACATAGATGATTCTAGATGAGAACTTGGATCTAAAACTCAAACAAGGAGATTGAGCATGAAAAAGGAGCTTATCTTAGCTTGGTGTCTTAGATAGATGATGGATTCTTTTTCTTCCCTTTCTATTAGTCTCCCTCATCAAGGGTCTTCCCCATCAAAACTCATCCTTTTTCTCTCTCAAACCCACTCTCACTTTGTGGAGGCATTCCTAAGACTGAGAAAGAGTTTTTAGAAGGGAAATCTCTCTTTTATTTATTGTCTAACACTTCCATTCTAAACTTC